CGCGTACTTTCGCAGCAAAAAGGTGCGTGTGTAAAAAAAAAACTGCCGCGACGTCACTTCATGCAGCGTAACCCACGACATAAGTCTGCCACTCGTATTTGTGTTCAAATGCTCTGGTTCACTCGGGGACACGGGACGTTTGGCCTTTCACCGCTGCCCGTAGTGATCCCGAAAGGCAAGAAGAGTGACACTGTAAAACAACACGTGCTTATGACATAGCCGTCGCTGATTGTGTTCTCTGAGTGATATAGAGGACGCTTCGGCCTCTGCGAGGTCGACTGAAGATCACCCAGCAGCAGCTCCATCAGTGCTGCGGCCCGGACCAGCACAGGACCTATCTTGCAGACGCGGCGGCAGGCCGGCAGCACAGTGCCGTGCAAGCTGGCGGAGGACGGAAACAGCTTCAGCGCAACGGCGCCCGCATATGTCGCGCACTCGCAAGCTCGGGGTGGGTTTGGGGCCGCTTGCGGCGGCCGGTGGACCGCCGCGCTGTATCACGACCGTCTATCAACGGTAGCATGATCGTGCGCCGTTACCCCGTCAATCCGGTTTCAGGGGCCCGCAAGGGGTAACCGGTGCACTGCCAGAGCCTTTTTCTTCGTCCATGAGCGGCTTCTAATAGCAGAGACAGGGAACAACAAGCTCAACACCGAATGCAACTGACGGCAAGCTCGAGGTACAAGCGACAGCAATGCTTGCATGGGCAAGCCGAACATGCCCAACGCCACATGCATGTTGCAAAAAAAATTCTGGACAGGCTGCGCCGCTAATCCCCGAAGGTGAGCCGCACCTCGACACTACCCGCGGCTGGCAGCGTCCTGCTTCCCAGGCTGTTGAGCTTCTGCCACGGCTTTGCTTCGTGAGCTCGATGCGCCCTCAGCTGCCCTGCCTGAATCACAGGCGGGACCCTATGCTGCCCGCGTCTTCACTGCACGGCCAACTTCACCCGAGCTCACCTTGCAGTCGCCTTTGTTCCGAACCCTTTTGCTGAGGCGGCTGCGCATGCCCCTCCCGCTCACCGCAGCCAGATGCCGCCGCCGCCAGCCACATGATGCATGCGAGTATGCATGCGGTGACCACATTGCGCTCGCGCAGCGGGCCCCTCGAACGAGCTGCGGCGCGTGTTTGTAGGGAGGCCGTCGCGACAGTTGTCACACATGCCTTGGTCCACGACCTCAACGTGGCCCCGCTCGGCCGGACGAGCGGCGCATTGAAGTGGTGCAGCTTTAAGGGTCGCTGAACGCGCCAAGGCACGGACTTATCCCGAACTCGCGCAAGGCAATCAGTGCCGATTGGTTGTCCTCGGCATTCAGGTTGGGGGGCGGTGGTCCGTCAGACTGCTGGCCCGAAGCCGAGCTTGCGCTGCCCCCGTCGCCACACGGGCAGCGACCGCATTTGCGTTCGCCGTGCGCTGGTCCGCGCTGCTGTCCTTCGCCGCTGCTCGGTCCTTTGCCGCCAGCCTCCTTTGTTTGCCGCTATCTGGCACTGCCAATGTCGACGGAGAGGCTCCCCTCCTGAGTGATGTCCTCGTTGACTTTGCTGAGCCGCCACCCAGCGCCAGGCGCCTCCCTTGAGCGTGCATTCCCGTGCCTCCGCCTTGGACTTCACCGTCACTGCCGTAGGGTGTCGCGCTGACTTCGGTTTCTGCACTGGGACCGCGTCCTGGATTGTCGTAAAAAGGTGTGTGGGGAAAAACAATTTTTGGGACAGGATGTGGTGGAGATATGTTCGACCATATCTTGACCATCATACCGGATATCCACCACAATGCCCAGCTGCACACCTGTTGGTCCGCAAACTCGACGCCTGGCAAAGTTGTTCACGTCGACTTTAGTTTTGCCTTGCTTGCACACGCACTGATCTGATCTTCGGACGCAACTCTCTCTCAACCAAGTCTACAGCTACAGCAGCCTGACCCTGGCCGGGTGTCATCAACGACGGACTCCACGAGGTCCCCGCCGAAGTCCGAAGCGGCGCTCTGCTGCTCGCAAGCCGACAAACCGGCGCCCTGGATCAGACCGCAGCTTTCTTGCACTGGGACTCGGACCGTGGATGCTGCACTAAGAGAAGCTTGTGGATATCAAGAGTCCAGTCGCATTCTGCAGTGGAGCCGTCCTTTTGGCTAGCAGCTGTTCAGGCGAAGGAATCATGCCCGGCGATTCCTCCGTTTGCTTGTGCCAGGTCGAACCACGGCCGAGCCAAAGTCGTGCAGCATGCCTGGGTCCGCGTCGCACGCGAAGCCATCGGACCCGAAGGGCACGTTCCGCAGCAGTGGTTGACGCACACGACCGTGCGTTGGAGGGGCACTGCACTGCGATGCTACGTCGGTCACTCCCGTGTCACGACATGGCCAGCCACCAGGGCGCTCAGCGGATGAAGATGGAGCTGCGCAGCATAATTATGCGCCAAAAAAGGCGATCGTTCGCGACATCGTTCGCCTCCGCCAGCCCACCGGCTCTCCGAAATGCCGCGGCTACCGCTTGGGTTTGGCGTTTGTGGATGCAGCTGTCGGCTGCCGTTCAGCGCACCACGGCCCCGGTCGGGCATGGCCGGCAGCGTCTCGCGCAGCGGCAGACGTTCCGGCATTAGAGCTCGTGTTGGGCTTCGACCTCGACGACGCTGCGGCTGATTGTCCGCGAGCAGGACCGGAGTCGGTGACAACTTTTTGTAGCTTTGTAGTTGACTCAGGACCGTACCTTTTGGCAGACACGAAAAGGATCAAAAAGGCGTGTAGGGGAACACCTTGTGGTCCCACATGTTTGTGCCCATGATCCTCGAATGTTAGAGTGTCGGCATATCCGGTTTTGGAGAGATGCTCTTGCATCGGTCGGTTTGCTTGGAGATGTCTGTCCGTGAAAGTCTCGAAAACATTGCTGACATGTCAGGTGAATGGACAAGAAGATGCCGTGAGCGGGAAGTTTTCCGAAAACAAAATAGGAGAGTGTGGAATGCATTTGCACGAGTTCCGTCACGTGGATGCACGGCGATACCCCTACGGCCCCAGAGAAACATCGTTTACGCAGAGCATTGGACTGTTGCTTGTCGCACCCGTGTATACCCTCGGTACAGAAGCGAGTGCGTTTTTGCACTGTAGCTGTGTAAGGTGCTGGTGTTCGGAACTTGCCGTGCAATTTTTAGAGCATGACAGCAGGTGCGTGCGAATATGCCTTTGTTGGATAAAACTTCTGATGCAGTTTCCTGTGTCATGGTTTCGTTCAGCTTCACAGGAGGATTCGTTTTGAATCTGCGTCTGACTTCTGAATCGAACGGATACATGTGTGGCGCCTGGATCTTGCCATAATTGGCTGTCGTGTCAAAACCGAGATGGCAACAAACACAAGCAGTAATACATGATTGTGGCGTTGCACATTTGCCGCCCAAATGGGTGCAGTTTCACCGCACGGAACATGTCACATGCGACGAGAACATGAGCACTTCTCGGGATATGATCCTTTGCTGTTCACTGCCCCCGCGGCTTTAAGCCTGTCAAAAACTAAAGAAAGTTCACTACCCCAACGGCGTTGAACTGTAAAACTCGAAGGTTTGACTACCCCAAAGGTTTTTGTTACGGCTTTTCAACCTGTACAAAGCGAAAGCTCACGTACCCAACGCTTCAACCTTATTTACCCCAACAGCTTCAAGCCTGTAAAGCCCGAAAACCTAGCACCCCAAAAGCTTCAAACCTGTAGAGCCCGAAACCCTGCTACCCCAACAGCTTCCAACCCGTAAGATTCGACAGGGTGGCAGCTCCTTGAGGAACGAAATTGAAGCGTATAAGAGTGGTGATGCACATGTTTGAGACGAACATGTTCCCATTTTAGTTCCACTGCGGAGCAAAACAAGCCTCGACGGTTGCAGAAAAACTGCCCAGGCAAGTGTCTGCAATCTGCGCAAACATGCTCAGTAGTGACTTCCTTGAGGTTCTGAAAGATTGCAGCCCCCTGTGCAGTTGCTCGTGAGTGCTTGTTGTCGTGACCGCAGGTGCCACATGTGTGTCTGCAACCTTATTTTTGATGATCCGCCGGAGCGTGATGTGATTGGTATTGTTTCTGGTGACAGAGGTATTGACTGGCAAGTAGGCTAGCATCAAAACCAGAAGTTAGACCCTAGCTTGCAGAGCTTTCCGGAGATGCCAGCACACAGACATTGTAAACACAACGTAACCATTTCCTAACCCAACCATCCTTGTACGAGCGTGCCCACATAGGCACTGTCCAAGTGTTTCGCCAAATTTTTCCGCTTCCGCTGCTGAATGTGCCGGCGCAACTGAAGGCGTTTGGGACAGCACGCAGGAGTAAGGAAGTTTTGTAGCTTTTTGAACAGGGACATGGAGCTGGAGCCCCCGCGCCGGTGAGAGTCTGAGCTTGTATGGCGCTAGCATTCGGTGGCAGCTAGTTCTGGGTGCAGGTCGGGTCGCGACAGCAAGATGTAGCTTCCCGTAATAGGGCAAGTCGCCTGAGGCCTCAACATCGAACATCTGGCGCTAGCAGCCAGATTTCCTTCGCGACCACTAATGATGCACCAGCCTCGGTTGAATGAATGTTTTTTTCCGTAGATGCGTATAGGGTATTCGGCAGCTTTGGCAAGTTCCTAAAACGTAACTCGAGGATGGGACGAAGTTCCACCTTCCATTCATTTCGGCAAATGCCAGACAAGGCACTGCAGTCCTGTCAGGCCCCGCGAGCAACTGCGAGCGTGGCTTCTTTGAGCAACAAGTCGGACAACAAGTCCTCCACTGGTTCGACAACAAGAGAGACTGTGAGAAAGCCTTCCAAAGCGGAGGTGAAGGATGCCTGGGCCCCGGTGCAGTGGTCCACTTGAAGTTACCCTAAAACCCGAAAGTCGAAACCCTAAGCTCATCCCAAGCCTGAAACTTCCTAACTCCTAGACCTTAAGCTAGCAGATTCCGAATGTCAGTGCTCTATAGCGGACGGACAAAGGTATTCAATGAAACAAATCCCAAGCCCAAAACATCCCAAACTGTGGCGGACATCACAGCTCCCAAAGCTTGACAGGCCAGGCCCCGGCCCACGAAATGGTACGTGAAGTGCTCGGGCCGTCTGGTTGAGAACACAGCCTTTATTAGCCTGCGCCTTGGGAACGGCTTCGTGTCGTGCTGCCATGGTCTACTTAAAGGATCATGGGACTTAGTAACTAGGGTTATAAATAAGGGAACTATAGTTTTTTTTAACCCCAATTAGGGTACTTCTAACCGTACTTACTAAGTCCCATGACCCTCCAAGTAGCATGCGCCTGTTTTGCTGCGCTTTTCTCCTCTGGGTAGGCACTCGGTTAGCTCCCTGGCTACGCTTGTCTGCTCTCGGAAGGTCTCACAACGATTCTGACGATCTACGCCCTGACCGGGGATGACCTGCGAGTGCTTCTAACGGAGCCCAGTTGGCATGCCGCATTCGGTTGATGTTGCTGTGGGTTTCAGCTCGTTTCAATTCCAAACAGCAAGGAGAAGCCTGCTGACAACTATTTCAATGGTATGGCCGCAAGCTCGCTAATTGCTTTGAGAGTGAACAATATGCAGACCTCCAGATATTCCTCTTCATCTGTTCCAGCGGTGCGAACCTGACTTAGGTCTTGGCTTGCTTAGCCATTTTCACGTTCGAGATTTTCATTTCCGTCCTGGGCAAGGCAGGAGCAGGAGCTACTACTTCTACTGCATGAGTTTTCGCGGGCCTTGCAAGGGTAGGCAGAGCCGTGCTCTCCGGAATCCTGATTTCCCGCATTGATTCTGGATCGAGGCCGACTACTGGCTTGGATTCTTTTTTATTTTGGACGTTGTTTCCACCGCCACATTGGTGCTCGATTTGACGTGGGCTGGAGCCTCATTCGAAATGAGTCTCGCCTCTGGATACTCGGTAAATGGTTCTCCCAGGTGAACGAAGCAGCTTTCGGCGGGACCACAAACACAGACACGTCTGAAGAGGGCATCTGGGCCTGCATAAGCTTTGTTGCGGTACCGTTTCCGTGCTGCCGATCTTGCCGCACCACGATGACTTTCTGTGTTTATCCGAATGTAGAGCTTCGAGGCTGGAAGGCATAGCAAAGTGGAAAGCAGGGGCTCTGGTCTTCTGAGGCGATACCCTGCGAAGTGGCAGGCCGCTGCCCAATGGGTTTGGCAAAAACTTCGTGTGAATGGGTTTTGTAATTAAGGCATCGCTTGCAACTGTCTCTTTCATTCTCCAGCCTGCGCCTCTCGCGAAGTCTGGCCCTGACGCTCTTGTTGCCTGCCTTCCATCCCAGAACAGCCCGAGACAAGCGTGGCCACTTCAGAAGCGCAGGTTTTGCTGGTCATAAGTATATTAGTAGCACCACGCTTGCCAGGACCGCGCGGGTTGGCGCCAAGGCGGCACGGATGGTCCGCGTGCTTAGATTGGACGGAGCCTCAGATCCACTGACGGAACTGTTGCCTGCCAGCGCATGTCGTTTCGAGATACCGGCTGCACGACGTCTTGAGCAGTGCACGTGTTTACTGTAGGGCCATGTTCTTCCGACCAGTGCGAATTGTACATGCCAACCGCACTGTGCCGCTTGACCCTAGAATGCCGCAAACAAGTCCACAAATGACACGTGAAAGGGTAAAGTGGATGCGGGGACGGGAAAAGAGTCCTGCTCCACACTGCGAAAGCCCAGTCCCTTGATCCGAACAACCTGGTCTTCAATCCTTTTCTACTTTGCCTTCCCTTCAGGTCAGAATCCTGAAGCTCTACAAAGCCTATTACGAGGCAAGTGGCCGTGTGGGCAACCTTGCGCCTTAAGCCCCAAAAGGCAAAGCGCAGGCGCATCATGGCCTGGGCTAAGCATGGTCATTCGTGGCCCTTAGTGCGGCAGCACGGCAGATGATCTAGACGTAGTGAGGAGCAACAATTCTGTGCAATGGCTGTTGCCAAAGCCTAGCGAGTGACACAGAGTCACGTATAGGTGTGTCATGTTGTCCCGTGTGTAGAATCAAGCACCTTAGATGCGACTATGTTTGAGGGCAGACGTGGATCAAGAGATAAGCTTTCGAGTGAACCCAAAGCCTCAATCCCGGAGCTGAGCCGAAAAGCGAGGAAGCTCACCGGTAAGAGATGCAGGGATTACCCCTCCGCAAACTGGACACGAAGTGTACAAGTTGAAACCCTGAGGCGAAGCCAGAAACCCGAAACTCTAAACCCCTAAACCCTAGTAAGCTTGAAGCACAAGTAGCAGTTAACGCATTTATGGGAGTGGTGATACGTGCCACTCCTTGTGCCAAAGTGCAAATCGCCGTGTACCAGGAACCTCGCCTAGACATGTTCGAGAGTGAGTGCTGAAACCCGAAACCCTTAAACCCTGAAGAAGTCGAGCCCTTTTCAGCCGAAAGCTTTGGAGCCTTGGAGTCCAGGCCGACCGAGAGCGCAAGCGGCGGCGCCAGGCCGTAGCTGCCTCAGCTCATATGCAGCGCCACGGGGATGACTTCTAAAGGTGCTAGCATCGTAGGGTTTAGGGTTTAGGGTTTTCGGAACCTCGCAGTCCCTGCTGCCACGAGTGCATCATGGAACGAGTCAGCTGTCCTGGCGTGACGTTGCAAGCCAGTTGCAAAAAGGGTTTCCGAAAATAGGGGGTACCTTATTTTGGGGTCCTTATGATAGGGATTATACTATTTGGGGTACTATATTAGGGTCCCCTACTTTTGGGAACCCCCACTTCTAAAGGTGCTAGTATTATTGCGATGATGATGCTCATGATGATGATGATGATGCCGATGATGACGATGAGGTTATTCTTACCAGTGCCATTACGACTGTCATCACTCGTTCAGTCTTGTCGTTGTTGCTAATACCGGTCTTATTATTACTATATCATTTTCTTAGTATTATTGTTTTTGCTTCTAGTGGAAAAGCATGGTTAGGGTTCCAGCTTGTCGAGGCAAGTCAGATTGGTAGCATGTTGTTTGTCGATGTTGCTCGGGTAGATAAAGGTGCTAATTCTTCGCACTATCCGGGTTTGAAACAAACGAAATGGACCAGAGTGGCAGTTGAGGGCCATGGTGTGAGGCTGTTCTTGCAGGCATTGATGCTTACGTAAGCTTGCTTGATCTTCCAAAAGCGGCTGCCTTTGCTGGCGTCAGCTTGGTGCACCGAGGCACTGCAGGGAAAGAACAAAGAGAATGATGACGATGAGTGGGACGAGGAGGATGTGGCCCAAGCAGGCAGGGCTTTGGGACTGAAGGATGTGGTGCCAAGTTGTCAAGATCAGCCTTGGGCAATGCTGGCATGCTGATGTGGACCCGGACTGTTCGCAGGCTAAGCAACTGTCGGTGAGCTGACAAGCCAAGGGTAAAGGAAATGATCGGGTTCTGAGGATATGATGCGGACATGTCAGTATTCGTCAAGTTCCGCATAAAGTGTTCTGTTCTTGGCCGCTGGAAGCGGAAGCGTGCTAGCCATGCGATCGTGGCGAATTCCCTTTATGACTGTTGTTTTCTTTACCATTAGTTAGTCTTACTACCTCATTACCATTCTCCATTGTGACCATTATTTACCATTGCTATCATTATCCTCACCAGTATGATTCCTGTTGTATTATGGGCTCCACCCCGGCTCTTGACAAGAGCCGTCCCAAAGCTCCCTTCGGAACTCCCGACAAAAACCCTCGCCTGTGCAGATGCCGCTGTATCTGCCCGCGGCTCAAAATCTTTACGGTTTAGGGGTTCAGGGGATGATGCCAGGGATGTCTGTTCGGAAGCATGGCTAAGTGGCTGAGTGCGAGAGGACAACAGTGAGCAAGTCAAGATCATCTTTCGTGGTGCAGAAAGTAGGCGCCGTTCGATGTACCAAGAGTCATTCGCAAGGCCGAGATGCAACATCAAGAGTCCACGCTCGGCAAGAAGTTGCCACTGGCTTGGAAGTTGCTTTTTGCCTTCTTGCAGCTCCCTATGGCGACTTCGACAAAGGGAGCTGTCATGTGTTGCACAGCTTCGTTCCGCTGGTTCAAGGTCTGAGATGACAACCCGCCGGGTGATCATCCTCATCTTGGCCAGGAGCTCGCAGATGCCCGCAGTAAGATGCCCCCAGAAGACACCAGGTTCGTTTATTTCCTACTTGTAGGTTTTTGGCTAGCCACATTCCGTCTTCAAGTTAGGGGCCGTGGATACATTCCATTCCATCACGAGGTGTCGAGCATCTGCCGCCTGCCTGCTGCAGGTCATGCTGATCCTTATGCCGCTTCTGCAAAAGGATGAGATTGACCAACTCCCTGTTTCCACTGCGTAAGGCGCTCAGAAAGGCAGCATTTTCTGATACGACCTTCAGTAGCAGTACCAACAGCTGCTGCCGGTTTGGTCGAAGAGGCAGCGATCTTCTCCAAATTTCTGCCAAGGTACGGCTCAAACATAGTGATGAATGCCTTTCAGGCTTGGGCTTGTTCTCAACGCGGGAAGTAGAAGTGCGGAGTCATGGGTCGACATCATGTCAGGACTACTTCAACTCGAATGTGTCCACGCAAAATGCCTCCTCACGAGCCTTCTACCAGCAACAGATGCTCCACTTTGTGGCGAACTCAGCAATAGCTTCACAGTGTCCGGTTTGCGTGTAAGCAAAGTCTCAATCAACATTCAGCTCCGCAAGCAAGCAGCGAAGCGCAAAAGTGCCGACCGCCACACATTGTGAAGGCGAACTGTTTTTCAGTCTGTCCACAACCAGTCTGCGGACGCTTCGACGCCAGGTGTACTACCACAACTGGTTTGCTGGGACTGGCTTGAACAAGTACTGCCCGTGACCCATGTATTTGTACTGTATAGCATGCCCGTGACCCATGTACTTGTGGTATAGCATGGCTTAGCCATCACAAAGAGACCGATTACGAGCGCCAATACACACTTATGAAGAGGCTGCTGGCTGTTCTTGTCGAGAGTACGAGGGGCTGAGATGATGATGCTTCTTATGCAGAGGTCCGGCCGTCGATAGTAAATGAACTGGGCTGCTTACAGGTGCAATTCCCATGCTGTTTGTTGTAGTATGGTCTCCTGCATCGGATTCAGCTTGTACTGTACGTAATTGCGCTGGACGTTTCGTTGTATAGCATACTACAGCAATTTTATTGCCTGCCCTTGTGCCTGGAGGTACAGCAGCACCAACCTGTCCTGCTCAAGTGCATTTTGGGGCACTGCCCTTATTGGCAGTCGAAAGGGAAGTTCCACCGAAAACCGTGGATGAAGCAACCCTTCGCCCTTTTCGAGAGGCTCAAACCTTGCCGATTGAGTTGAGGCCATCTGTACTTTGTTGGCCTTCGTGGGCGAGACCTTGCCGCTGTGGACGCCAAGGACCACCTGTGAGCTTCGAGTGTTTGGCGTTTGCTGAAGCTTTCGGGCTTTGGCTTATCATGCCGTCAGAACCGGTACGGGTTGCCCAGAAGGCGAGATGCCGACACTTGCCATTCCCTCGTGAGGCCGCAGCGGCGCAGCTCGATCTTGATACAGTGGCGGCCTTCGACCAGGCTTCACGAGCACGGGCCTTAAGAGAGAGCAGCCTGGTGCAGCACGCTCTGCTGGCTACTGCAGCTCCCGTGCTATTACGGCTTGGTCGGCTCGTCCAATCTGTCTACGAAGTTCTACGAAGTTCTGCACGTGGCCAGAATGGGTACCTGGCCTCCTACAACTATGGCGTCATGCCGTCGCAGGTGCAGGCCAGGGTGAGACAGTCGACAACAAAGAAGCATAATTCAGGAAAGGGGAATATCAAGTTGACAGTCGGGCTTGAGATTCACATGTCCAGCTGCACTCGTTTTCAGTCTGCTACCGCACCACGACTGCAGCAACTTTTTCGTGCTGCAACTGCGGCAGCAGCAGCAATAACAACGGCAACGCCTACAGCTACTGGTTGTCCTCGCCCTCATCATTCTCACCTTCGGCCGGTATTTTTTTATGTGGAAGTTCCAGCGATAAAGATACATTGGAAAGCCTATGGAAGGCTTAGGACTACTTTTGGTCATGTCCATATTTTCCGCGATTTAGAGGCCTTATGACTGTTGCGCAGTGGCTTCGTATGAATCTTTGAGTTGCGATATGGCTATGCGAGTCGTCAGTATTATTGTCGATTATGTATCATTATCTGAGTCATCACTAGACCGAATCCATGACAATATATTTTTAGATTGATTTAAATTAAGTGATTTAGCTTAATTAATTCTATCTCGTGGCTGCAGCCAGTCGGACTCCCGCCGAGCTCCCTGCTTTCAGCGGTCTGGATGATGCCTGGCTGGTCTGCAAGTTGCTGATCTGGCCGTGATCCTTCTGAAACCAGCAGCATGCACCGTGACCACGATTGAAGGACATGGGCCAAGGACAGCCGCCATGTCTGGGGAGCCCAGCCCCCCAGCCCCCCATTCAATCAATGTGCCAAGGATCGTGAGATCGGATCATATCAAATGTCGAAACATCTCAACTTGCACGCTGTGACTGCGTGAGTGGAGGAGAAGCTGCGTTGCGCCCATGCACGCACAAAACACTCATCAGCATGCGTGTTATTATACTGGATTAATTCAACACGCAGCTCGAGAAAGATCGTGCGATCTTCAACACGAAGCACTGACGACGACGTGCACGTTTCAAGTAGCTCACAGAACCTGAAACAGGGGCCGTCAGCTTATGCAGGACGCCCGACCACTTCGCGACCCCTCCAAATCCAGGCCACTTCCGACCATTTTCGGGAGCCTTGACCACGCCCCTTCCCCGCCCCGCACACCCCCCCCCCCCAACACACCCCTTAAAGGGGGCGGGAAGGGGGGCGGGGTGCGGGGGTGGGGGCACAGACCCGGAAGTGGTTTGAGCGGTCCGGAAGTGGTCGGAGTGGTGGGGAAATGGTCCGAAACCTGGATTTGGAGGGGTCGGGAAGTGGTCGGAAGTGATCGGGAACGCTGGATTTGGAGGGGTCGGGAAGTGGTCGGAAGTGGTCGGGAACCTGGATGTGAAGCGGTGGGGAAGTGGTCGGAAGTGGTCGGGAACGTTGGATTTGGGGGTCGGGAAGTGGTCGGAAGTGGTCGGGAACCTGGATTTGGAGGGGTTTGGAACTGGTCGGAAGTGGTCGGGAACTGGTCGGGAAGTGGTCGGAAGTGGTCGGGAAGGCTGGATTTGGAGGGCGGGAAGTGGTCGGAAGTGGTCGGGAGTCCTGCATAAGCCTTCCATCCGCTTAACGGCCTTGTTTTCAGGTTTTGACGACGCCAGCCCTCCATCCAGCGTTCGCCCCACTTCTGGACCATTTCCGACCACTCCCGACCACTTCCCCACCACTTCCTACCAGTTCCCGACCCTCCAAATGCAGGTTTCTGACCACTTCCGACCACTTCCCGACCACTTCCCGACCCCTCCAAATCCAGCGTTCCCGACCACTTCCGACCAGTTCCCGACCCCTCCAAATCCAGGTTCCGGACCACTTCCGACCACTTCCCGACCCCTCCAAATCCAGGTTCCGACCACTTCCGACCACTCCCGACCACTTCCCGACCACTTCCGACCAGTTCCCGACCCCTCCAAATCCAGGTTCGGGACCATTTCCGACCACTTCCCGACCACTTCCGACCACTTTTTGACCCCTCAAATCCAGCGTTCCCGATCACTTCCTACCACTTCCCGACCACTTCCGATCACTTCCCGACCCCTCCAAATCCAGGTTCCGGACCACTTCCGACCACTTCCCGACCGCTTCCGACCAGTTCCCGACCCCTCCAAACCGACCAAACCACTTCCCGACCACTCCCCACCCCTCCAAATCCAGGTTCAGACCACCAAACCGACCACTTCCCGACCATTTCCGACCACTTCCCGACCCCTCCAAAATCCAGGTTTCCGACCACTTCCCGACCGCTTTGCGCTCCCGAATCCAGGTTCCAACCACCTCCACTTCTCCCGAGATTGGTGAAAGGGTGGGGGCGGAGGGGGTGGGGGTGGGGTTGGGGGTGTGGAAGCGGTCGGAGATGGTCGCAAATCATCGGGAAGTGGCGGGGGTACCCGCCTGTGGTCTGATTGAAACAGGCTATGTGAAGCCCTTGGACGTCCGCAAGATGTAGTATTTCCTCTTCAGAAGAGTGGCGTTAGCAGTAGCAAGTAAAGGCTTGCGCGAAACAGCTCCTGGCATTGCTTTTGTAATTGCAATCTTCGTTTACAAGTCCACTCTTGATGATCTAAAACCTCGTGCTGAAGGGGGCATGATGCAGCCCAAGTGGGGTCCTGATCATTTAAAACCACGTGCCGGAGGGGGCATGATGCAGCCCAAGTCGGGGTCCTGATAGTCTGTCTAGCTGCTCAAATGGTGGGTGCCCAAAACCCGCCTACCTGGCTACGAACGCTAGTCTTAAGCCTTCCCTGGGCTTCCCAAAAGATACACGTGTAATTGGCAAGTGCGACGGACCTGTGTCTTCTGAGAGCGCGTGCATGTTGTCTGTCTGTCCACTCTATCCTTGTCTCTTCTTGAAGTTGGGTTGTCTCACCTCTTGCCTGCAGCCTTCTGTCCCTCTTGATTCTGGGTCGTCTGTCCGATCGGCTCTCGAAGCAGCGAGGCACGCTCTCTTGTCTCGATGAGAGACCAGGAGGGAGAGAAGGGCAAGACAACAAGAGATAAGACCAGAGGTTTTTGGTAATAACATTCGTAGTAATAAGAACAAGAATGCTAATAATGTCATATTAACATTAATATTGTACTAAGAAAACACAAAACTTATGCCAATGACAATAATAACAATAATAATGGTAATAATTAATATAGTAATTGTGACAATCAGAATAAGAAGAATAATGAAGATGATATTTATCATCGTTACCGTTCCTATTCTTATGCGAATTACTAAAGTATAGTATGATTATGATTATCCTGTTATCAGTATTTTTAGTGTAGCCATTAGTATCATCAGTCTTATTGTCCTGATAGTTGTTATTGCAATAAGTTTGACTAAGTTATAGTTACATTGTTAGAAGGGAAGGTATCGGAGACAAACGCCACAGTTGTGCGACGAGGCGATGCCATCCAACAACCACTTGCGAGCTTCGAACGACTGTCAGCTACAGCAGATGCAGTCAAAACATGTCAAAACTGGAGAAAATGCTTCGCAAACATGTTGCGAGTTGCAATATCCGCTTCTTCTGCCGCACACAAAAGGGGAAAGCCACACGCAAACGCTGGGGGCTTAAAAACGAAGAAAAGAACTGAACCTGACGTTTTTCCAAACTGAAAGAAGAAACCCAAAAACTAAATTTTGGGTGCTAAAAAGCGAAGAAAATAAGAATGACGCAGAATGCAGTGAAGAAGATGAGGCGAAAAGAGATCACACAAGGAGGCCTGGCTTTAGGGAACGACCGAGCTGGTGCACCGCTGTATAACCATTGCCGGTCGAGGCCATGCACTTTCAAGGTCGGTTCATGCTGTATCATTGTAGGCACCAGCTTTGGTCATGGATGGAAACGGCACTATCGCGAGGAAAGTTGCAGTGCACATGGCGGTAGCATTGCATAAACTCCTGAAGAATGTCACAGAGACCTACTGTCCTGGTGCAGTTTATCACCTCCGAAGTATTGCTGCTTGGCAATCCTGCGATTCGTCCTTTGTGAATTGTTTTCTTTGCTGCGGTCGCGAACCTAGTCCATCTACATGAACGCCACTGTTTGGCAAGTTTCAGGACTTGCGACATACAGTGCTCTAAAGCCGATCCCCACAGCGGTCAGACACCCTAAACCCTAAACCCTAAACCGTGCGAGAGGGAAAAAAACCCTAAACCGTCAGACCTTCCTCTCCGGAGAGTGGACCAACAACTGCGGCACTGCAGAGTCGCCGTTGCTAGGCCCGCACCCCAGTGTCCTGGAGCTCGGCCTTTGAGCTAGAAGGTTTAGGGTTTAGGGTCCTTTTAATGGAGGCACTTCAGAGAGACCTCGTTCAAAGGGTCCTTTTAATAGGTATAACGCTCTGCAATATTGCTACTTAGGTAGTTGGAGCCACCAGAAACCCCTAAAACCCCAACCCCTACTTGGAGGATCATGGGACTTAGAAACTAGGGTTAGAAATAAGGTAACTATAATTATAACCCCAATTAGAGTAGTTATAACCTTACTAAGTCCCATGATCTTCCAAGTAGAAGGTTTAGCGGAATAAGCTGTGTCTGTTTGCATCTTGGGGCAACTACGCGAAATGTCGTGAAAAAGACCAGCTGCAAAATCAGGTGTGTGAAGGTTGAGGACCAAAAGGTTTTGGGAGTCTGTGGTCTGGGACAGGGCCCCCAGTAGCAAGAAGGGGACATGTCATTGAGCCGCGGAGAAAGTCGAGGTTGGACCTCGTAGATCACCCGATGTGGCAGGGCGCTTTTCCCTGCTCAGGTGTTTCACTGCTTGCCGAAGATGTGAACGGCGACGTTTCTTATCCTGTGTTGTGCCCGCAGGTGGGGGCCCAATCAGCATTGGTGAGATTGTTGCAATGAGCCGTATTGATGGCGTGGGATTGTTGTGCTGGCAGAGATGCGCCTGGTAGATGCAGTTGAATTCAGCATTCACAAGTGCAATGCCCAGGACCTTCGTGCGACAGACTATTCGGCAGCGCGGTTGCACGCAGGGGCAGCCTGAGAATTGGTACGGGTGCATTTTGTTTCCCAACTCCTGAAGCAGACAGGGTCCCAAAACAGAAGGCTCGGCTATCTTTGCCCTGTCTGCGAGGTTGTCATCCCACTATGGCAGACACGAGCGCAACGAAATGCAGCTGATCCAAATTGATTGAGTTTAGGCGTGGTGTGGTGTGTGTTCAAGCTGGGAAGATCATGAGCGAAGTGAAGAAGTCAGTGCTGTTTCTGTCGCATGTGGTACTGTAGTGGATGCGGTACTGGTATCGAATTTGCAAACTTGGCTGAGGAGTGGCGTTTCGAGTTCTTCTTTGACATTCGGTCGGGGACTTGGTGCCAGAGGGGAACTGCAGACTTTGATGCCCTGGTCGTGTGCAGTGGTGTCTTGGGGGTCATGGGCAGGATATACAACAAAGAGGTCGCCTATTTCAGTTCCAACCTCGGTCCGATGAGGTAGGTGAGCTGCTGCGACCGCAAGCTAACATGTCTGTCCAGATTGTGGATTTTCTTCTGCTTGAGCACGAGACACTACGGCTTCAAACGCTGAATCTGGGAGCGCTCTTCCTACGTAGCCATGTGCGAGCTTTGCGACTGTGACGTGCAAAGTCTTTTGTCAACTCGCTTCACAGATTATGACTTGGAGAGCGTTCCGTCCGACAGAAGCACTGACTCATACAACTTGGATGATTTTCGAAGAGCTGAGCCGGAGCCCGAGCATTGGAAGCCCGATGCCGTGTGGACTGCCGCCTTTGCGGCGGTGCGGTTCATCTCCAAGTGTCGGGTGCATCGAGCAGAGGCTCCAGGCTTGGACGCGCCCACGGCACATCCAGAGCAAACTTGGATCGTTTTTGACTGGGATGACACGCTGATGCCCACGAGCTTTCTCGATGACCTGGACCGGATGATCCCCAAGAAAGCCGGGAGGCAGGGCTCAAAGCAGGCTGGGCTACCGAGGGACTGCCCCTGTTTCGCAGCGATGGAGCGACACGCAGATCGCGTCCGCTCCTTGTTGCGGACGGCTCGCTCCTTGGGGAACGTGGCCATCGTTACCATGGCCGAGCGTGGCTGGGTGCCCGAGTCGGCGTCCCAGTACCTTCCAGGCCTGGACCTGGAAGTTCTCCTCTCTGAGCTGGAGATCCCAATCCTCTATGGCCCTGAGTTTATGGACGGTGACGCCTCTCTGCCCGAGGGCGAAGGTGATGTTTACGTTGCATCGAAGTATGCTGCCATGCTCGACTTTCTCAAGCAGGGTGCAGACAGCCCATGCAACTTGATTTCCATCGGCGATTCCACGATTGAGAAGCATGCAGCCCAGCAGCTCTCGCAAACCCTGGGCACCAAGAACTCACAGTCACTTTGCAAAACAGTGAAGCTCATGACGGATCCCTCATTGAAGGAGCTGTCGACTCAACTGGAGATTGTGCAGATGTTCTTGGAGCGCTTGGCCAAGCACTTCCAGCCTGTGGATGTAGATGCAGAGACGGTGGAGGAGCTGAAGTCTACTGTGCAGAAGTTGCTGGCGGTATAACCGCCCTAAGTTGCAAGGAAACCAATCCGCTGTACAGTGCGCTTGTGTATAGCCCCTGACGGCTCGCTGGACTCCTCTCGAGTGTACAGCACAGGACATCTCAGCTTGAGCCGCAAGAGCGCGCCAACCAATCAACCAATCAATATCAACCAATGCTAACCTCTCCTCGATCCGACCTGGATCGTTTTCCGAGACGAGCGAAGGCTATGCTCTCATGCTGAATCCGGCTTTAGTTTTCGACCTTTCCCTATCGGTGATGTGTTTGGAGCCACTGGGGCCACGCGACAGATTGCCGACAGCCCGACGGTGCTGGCACAGGCCAAGGCTCTCACATGTGCCAGGGCCGTGTGCGGGCTGAGAAGGCTCGCAATGCTCGCAAGACTCGCTTTCATGGCCGCTCTGCTCGTTGTTGCCACAACGCATCACCTGCGGAGCGGCGCGCCTACTGCAAAACTGCAGGAAGTCCAAAAGACTGCTCCCTGCGTGTAGCTCGCTGTGACCTCAGGCTCCCGTCGACAGCGCTGAGAAAAGGAGCGTCCCCCCTGACCCCAGAAAGATCACCGTGGTTGTTCTTTCATGTTTTGGGCCCTTTGAAGGTCTGGCGACAACGGGGATCGTGCTGGTCCTGCTCTTGACCGGGCCAGGGCCCCAGGGCCCCCAGGACTCGCCAACAGCACCAAACCTTCAACACAAACGAGGTCTCTCATGTTCTCCCGTGATGCCAACCGGCTCATCGTCAACCCGGCCGAAGCCCCGGTTGAGGCTTTTTGAGGCTCTGGGCCTTGCCTCAAGCTGCGGATCGGCCCAGGTGGAACAGATGATCCACAAAGTCAAAGCCATTCGTGGGGCCCTTGGGTGTTGGGGTTTAGGGTTTAGGGTTTAGGGTTTTGGGGCCGATGGAATATCGGTTGTCTGTAGGCCTGTCGCCATGCTCGCCCCTTACATGTCGTTGCCAGGCGACAATCCATTGATTGCAATGAAGATGGCAAACGAAGAGTGCGACCCTCAACAAGATCAGCATGCATTCTGCTGGCATGCCCTCCACGCCACAGGTTGCAGGAAAAAACTCGGGTTCGTCACAACAGCTTTGGGCAATGCTTCTGCCCGATCGACAGGGGTGACCGAAACGATCCGATAGTGTCAAAGTTTGGCAGAGAGCGGCAGGTTCAGGCAGCAGGTGGGTTGTTGCCGGAAACAAAGCTCGGCAAGCCGAAAGCACACCCGTAGAAGTCGTTGCATCAGCAAGACTTAGATTTCCAGAACTTGCTCCTTCGCGTGGCCAGTAGCGTTGGGAGCGTCAGACCTAAGTGTCTAAAGGCATGATGCATGAGTAGGCCGCAAGCTTGTGAGAGGCCGAACCTGGATTGATTTGACAAACCCGCTGACCTCGACCCTGCCTTGCCTGGAGAATCCGGGTGTGGCTGCCGAAACTTACAGATTGCCAAGAAACGCAAAACGGAAGAAGCCAAAGTACAATGCCAAGAAGGCATGAGATGTTGAAGAAGATGATGATAATGTTGATGATACGGATACTGGTAAAGCAGATGATGATCATGGTGATGATGAAAGTGTTTTTTGTTGTTGGACCGGTGCTCTCGAGGTTCAAGCTGGAGGAGATCAAGAAATCCCGAATGCGCAGACAAGGCTATTTTCTCAGCGCCGAGCTCTCGGAGGTCTCGGGTTAAACCAAGTTGATATCAAGTGCAATCGGGTCTCGGTGCATCTACTGTACAGCGTTTAGACGATTTCCTATTCGCTTCCTGTCTTCCCTAAGCTCCTAAACCCGAAGCGCCAAACTCCTAAACCCCAAACCCTAAACCCCTACAGTGATCGTGCGCTAGAATTTGTAGCAGTTGGCACTAGTTGGACACGAGACCTCGTCTGGTGGAGTCCGAGTTGCGAGAGCGTAAAACCCTACACCTACACCTCTAAAGCCTTAAACCCTCTCGCCTCAGCAACCCATCCGAGGCAGTTCTACACTGGTGCACCTGCAAATGCTTATCTGTCCGGCACCCAGGGTGTCGGAGTTCAGGGATTGAGGGTTTATAGCCTTTCTACTGGGGTTACAGTAGGGTTTAGACTCAGACAATCTTATTTCTCGGCTTTTTCCAAGAAAGCATGGTGCAGCCTGCGCAGCTCCATCTGTTCTTCGCTCGGCCTCTGGCTCTTTGCATGTCTTGTCGAGCCTGTAGTAGTAGAATAAGTACCAGTCTCACGAAACGAAGTCAGGATGACAAGCTGGCGACCGAAGAAGCAACTTTTGCAGTAGCCCGAAATCGCAACAGTTACCTGCATCGCAGCTGCAAGTGTGGCTTCTGCAAAAGAGCTTGTATCTCTTGTCCTCGACCTTTTGCGAAAGCCCGTGGATCATTGCCGCACCTAAGCGTACCCGTATAATTTGCAATGGAGTCGGAATCGGATGATGACCTTCCACCGCTCGTGACGGAGGATCCTGCTTTGCACAGGGCTCCTAGAGCCAGCTTGGTTTTGCATGAGACATTGCACAGTGTGAGGTCTTCGTGTGGCAGCTACATAGCATGTTTTGGCTGTGCGTCGAGGTACGGAGCAAGACAACGTAGGAAAGTCCAAGCAGGTCTTGTCTTGGTCATACCCTAAACCCTAAACCCTAAACTCTAGACCCTAAACCCTAGAGTTTGTTCCCCTTTTTTAGGGTGCTTGTTATGACAGGTTACCCTGCTTAGGCCGGGTTTGTCCCAACTTACAAGGCCCTTCAGGTCGATGAGAATCCTTCGCACAGTTCAGTGCTGAAACTGTCCAATTTTGTTTACATTCCACCGTGATGAGGGCTCGGTTGAGGTGATGGTTGTTATGTCTTCTTGCATCCTTTTTGTGGTGTAGCAGTGATTGGCGGCCTACAGTCTACATGCTTGATCCACTTGGACACAAGAGACCTCGTCTGGCGGAGTCCGAGTTGCGAGAGCGTAACCCTAAACTCTAAACCCTAAACCCAAAACCGTGGCATATAAGGTGTAGCTTCACCGCCTGCGCAGGATGGCGCACAGGTGCCCGCCGAAGCCACTGCTGCAAAGGCACGGCCGACGGCGGCTGTGTAGCACATTCAGGGCGATACTAGTAATGACCAACCGTCGTTTCGGCAGTTGTACATTTGTCATCTGCGGCGAGTATTGCTGGCGGTATCATTGCTAGCACTACTATCACCATTTCTGCTCCTCCGCTCCTCCTAGCTAGCTACTGCTGTTGATACTGCTACTACGACGACTTTTTCTCCGTGATGAGGACAAGGACAGAAGGCACTACCACAACTCGTTCTCCTGTTGCCTGTGCGGCCAGCAAAGACACAATCTGTTCTCTCTCAAACGGCTACTACCAAACGGCCACTACAGCCGCCGCTGCAAGCTGAGACTTTTGCTGCTGCTGCTGCTGCTGCTGCTGATCCTACATTGACCTTAGTCTCTCCAGCGGAAACTGTTGCAGTGACGTCATTTCAGAACAGAGAACTTGGAGGATCATGGGACTTAGTAACTAGGGTGATAATGAAAGTAACTATAATTATAACCCCCAATTAGGGTACTTATATCCCATGATCCTCCAAGCAGTCTTCGAAAGGCCAGCCCGGCGCCCCAGCCGGCACCGAAGGCCGAGCCTCGCCGGTGTCTCAGTGATCCTGGCTGGGGCGGTTGCTGGGGGAGTTCCTGGCTGGAGCAGAGGTGCCGAGGAGCCCTCCGGGGAAGATTCTGACCCAGATGATGAAGCCCTGCAAGCTGCACATCAGTTGCGCATCTTGGCAGCGGAGTTCTGGACTCGCCAAGCTGTGCCGCTTACCACTGATGCTGATCCGTTGTGAAGGAGAGGCTGCTGTCCAGCGAGCACGTGAAGCTGGCGACACAGAGGCTCGTTATGTGAGAGCGGCATGGCAAGGGATGCTGAGCTTGGTCTGCCCTGCTTTCCGCAGTGCTCCGCAGGTCTCAGCTGGTGATGCTCTGCAAGCACTGATGAAAGAGGCCGCTCAGAAGAAGGGCATCCCGGCATGTCGACCCTGTGGCAATGCTGCGCCGTGTCGTCCTGTTGCTGTAGGCAGAAGAAGAGAAAGCTCCCTACAAGGAGCCAGATGCAGCTTGCCGGCAAAGAGTGTGACATTCATACTGTTGCAGCTTGATGCTTGTCGGTTAGTGCACGTGTGCACCNNAGCGAGCACAGCTGAACCTTTAGCAGCTGTGCCTCTCGAGCTTTCCTTTAGCAGGACCTGTTAGCATTGCCTTCGCCGCCATGGCAGAAGAACGTCGTGCCAACCCGGCCGTGATGATGGCAATCAGGGTCCTGTGCGAAGCCTCGGAGGATGATGTGATGAACTCGCTGGAGGAGTTCAGAGTGGCGCACCGGGCTTTCCTGTCAGCCCTGATGGCACAGAGTGTGGCCGAAGGGCTCGAGGCCTACAAGCAACATGGGACCCAGGCCACGTTCGACGCTGAGCTGCTGGTTGGAGCCGTCTTCGGCAACTTACCTGATGTGCCAGGTCCCCCTTCCGACGCCGCCGGGTCTGCTGAGCATGTGCCGGTCCAGGCAGCACACACTTGGGGCGAGCCAGTGGACGCTGGAGACAGGGCACCAGCCAGCAATGAGGAACCAGCGCCGGCAGAGGTGCACTCGGGGAGCCAGCGGCGCCCTGATCCTCTCGAGTTCGTGGACGAGATCCCGTCAGAGTTGGACTATGCCCAGTTCAACCCGGCCGAGAACCTCGATGATGGTGCTGCCTGCGCAGCCGACACAGGAGGAGTCTTTGGAGGTCGCCAAGCTCCCCCGTCAGACTCTCCTGGAGCGGTGTTCGGGGCCAAGCCGAACCAGTTAGCGGCTCCGGGCTCCCTGGCGAAGGGCAAAGGCAAAGGCAAGGGCCCCGTGCAGAGCCCGACACCTCAGCAGGTTCCGACACCGCCGACGACAAGGACAACCGATGCCCCCGCAGCAAAAGGCCCGTCAGTGGCTAAAGCCAAGGACCCCGCTGGCGCCAAGGCGGCCAGTCAGTCCTCCGAGTGGCGTGGCTGGACAGGTGATCCACGAGGGTCGGCAGTGCCCGTTCGCACAGAGGCAGTGATTCCTCCTTGGGCGCCTCTGGTGGCCGAAGATGGGCTTCCTTTTAGCACCACGCCACCGGACTACTGGAACCTCCAGTCAGCTTGTAGGGTTCGCTGTCCCAGGTGCTTCTCGAGGATGTGTACACGCCACAATCTCAGGGGCTTTCGCAGAGCGCACTCGCGCCACAGATGCCCGTCTTGCACCCAAGCCGAGGAGCAAGGAACCAGTTAGGTGCAGTGTTCCTTTTAGTTTTGTGGATGGGGCTCACCAGAAGAGCCCGTCAGCGACGCCGGGGCGTAAGCTCCCTCACTTTCGCTGCTATGCCCAAGGCCGTAAAACAACAGGACAGCCAGTGACGCCAGTCAGCACGTGCAGGGTAGAGTGACATGTCAGTTTCTGTTGCAGCAGTGCAGGTAGAGTGCAGCACTTCGTAGAGTCCTCTCCCGGTCAGCTTGCCAAGTGTGTGTTCTCGCACCCTCTGCTGCTAGACCCTTGTAACGCAGGCAAGTGTGTGACAGGGCGTGTTGTGGGTTGTGTGTGTGTCTGTGTCTGCTAGGAACGGTTAACCTCTCAGTTCTTAACTCTAGCCCCAGTTCGGTTAACACCCGGCAGTTGGACTGTGACAACAGTGGAAAGTTGCCCCAGGTCGGTACTCAGAGGTATCTTCGGCGACGTCCTGTTAGACGAGCTCTTAGCTCCAACAGCCCGCTCCAGCAAGCGATCCCGTCAGGACATACCGCAAGTGCGTCCTAGGACGCGGGGGTCGCTTCAGCGGCTCGGATTGGAGCCAGCACCGGCAGGAGCTCCCGCAAACCCCCCGTTAGATTGAGAGAGCGTTGGGCCGCCACCTCTCAGGCACCTCGAGAAAGCAGATGGGCGACATGGTCCCGCATGTCCGAGAGCAGAGGACACCCAGCGGTACCCATCACTCGGCAGTCCCTGTTCGCGGTTGGCGCCTTACTGAAGGCAGGGGGGTACCGATCAGCTTCCCAGTACATCTCGGTAGC